GGAAATGTCTCAAAGCCTCTCCATTTTCTGCTTTGGGTTCTTGACTTGCCCATTAGTCTGGGGATGGTGGCCAGAAGTGAGACTGACAATAACACCCAATGTCCATGGAAGTTTTCCACACCTTAGATGTCAAGCAGGGCCTCTAATCAGAAACAAGAACTTCTATATATAACTCTTTCTGAATATCTATATAATTCTCTAGATCCTATAGAAAGGAAAGGCTTTAGGAAAGGCTTCAGAAAATGTATCAATGATGACTAGGATAGTCGAGTGACCTTGTCAAGGGGGAGAGGTCCATAAAATCATTAATAGAAAGGTGTGACAAGGGTCTGGGTGGGATTGGAAGAGCCTTACGTGTAGCTGTAAATAAGTAACATTGCAGGGCATGCTGTGCCAGGATGTCCTGTGGCTAGTAAAGTGTTGGCCCATTTCAAAATCTCAACAGACCTGTGGCATGTACTTTTTCATCATTAGGACAGTTTTCAGGAGCAGGTTTTTCCTTTATGGCCCATCTTTTGTCATCATCCATTCCCCCCTACTGAACACGTGCCATAATGCATGAAGGCTTAATGATGGCACCATCCTTCTCAATGTTTTTCTTTCTCACAATTATTGGAGAGTGTTATGTTACCATTTGGTGACCCAGGTCAGTAAATAATAAAACCATATCATGGAAAATATATTTCCCAACTGACTTGCCTTGAATTCACACTTTTAATGAAACAAATATATTCCAGGTCCCAGCGATCAGTAGGTATTGTGAAAGGACAGATTGCTCCCTAAATGCCAGTTTTATGGGCAACAGCTCTTAGTTGCCAAAATCATAATTTTGCTATGTTGGAGACCCTTTTGTTGAGAAAATATGGCCCCTGCCACCATTTCAGAAGCATCCACTTCCACTATGAAAGGTAGCAATGGATCCATGTTTTAAGCATGGTGGCTGAAACCTCTCCAGCTCTCAAAAAGCTTGTTCCACCTCTGCATTTAATTACATGCATTTGCTCCCTCTTTTGAATAGAAACATGATTGGCGCTGCTACAGTGCTGAAGCCCTACCCATTAAAGACCAATGGGTTTTTGTAGTGGCACATAATAAAAATGACCACATAGTTTGCAACATCCTGCTTCAGGAAGAGCCACCAGTATTTTCTCAGTAAAAAGCTGTGTTGTATGAGGAATACCTGGATGACCAGTCCTGACTGAATTATGAGCACACACTATAAAGTGATCATGCACTTCTGTGACTGTGATATAATTTGGGATGGTCCCTTTGTCCCTTTGCTGCCTAATTCCCAGCTTGGAGGCATCAACCTCCACCACAGATGATGATGATTAGGGTCAGGATATTGCCGTAGAATCTTAGCCTGGCCTTTCAGGAGGAATGTAAGAGGACAGACAAAAGCACTAAATTTGCAAATAGTGCAACAGTAAAATTTCACAATATCAAGGAATTTTTTGTAGTTTAAGTTTTGTAGCCTGTGCCACAATCTGGCTGCCTTCTCTTTGTAAGTCTCCATATGTGCCCCCCTCAGAGCTGATTATTTACCAGAGAAAGAAAATAGTGGTTTGGTGAAACTGGAATATTTGGCCTTGATGTATTGCTGATTTTTTTGTAAGCATATATAACACTGCCCTCCTACATGTTGGGCGAGTAGAAGAATGTCATTTATGCAGACCACCACAACCCCACAAAGAAGTAAGGGAACATCCCAAAATGACACTATATCAAGAGAGCATGATTGGTCTCAAACTCTCTGGGTGGATAAAATGCCCCTTCTTACACCCTAGTCACTCAGTGCAATTTGACATAACAAATTAGTTAGCTTTCTGCTCCAAGCACATAGAATGGTCAAAAACATTGTGTTAGCAACAGTATGAAAAAAGATGCCATGGTTGACATGTTTTTCAAATGAAATGTGCCAGCCACTTTCCCAGCTTGGTGTCATTGTGTAATGTTGATACAATGGTAGTTTGCCCTAGAGCATTCCAGGATATCTTAACAGTAACATTGCAAGAAAATACATACAAATCTGCCCAGTACTGACTCCCCATGTACAGACTCCATAAAATGAAGTACAGTTATATCATACTGAACAATTGACTTTTAATAACACCATTAAAAGTGGTGGGATGTTATTTTGGTGTTATTTACATCTGAATATTAATTAAAAGTAAAAAGATAACAGACAGTCTGAAATATATGGATAGTTTTATTATATACAATTCATGAAGTTTATTATATTAATATTACTCATTATTTTCAACTGTAGTATATGTATATATGGTGACTGTTTGTATGCAAGAAGCAGTTCAGTAAAGTAACACTTTTTTTGTTTGTTTGCTTTGTATTTGTACCCTAGCACAGCAGATCTGAAGCAGTGGCTTTGAATTTAAAGTGCAAAATATGGGCTTTAATTTATTTTTGGTAAATCATGATTCATAGGCATTCATTTCAAGCCCCAAAAATAAATGGGCAACTTGTAACTTGATTGTGGTAAATAAAAATGTTTATGTTCCTGGTTGCTGCCTGGATAACATTTATCATGAACTGCGTTTAAGGATCATGATAATAATGGTGTAAGTTTTTCATTTTTAGTACAATATATATCACATAGCAAGAATATCTGTTTTTCTTTTTCTTTTAGTTTCATCCTCTGCGCGCTATAACTGAGAATGACGCCAAGTACAATAAAAACGTAGATCTGTGTGATAAAGTTCACTGTCTCGTGAGCATTCTTCCCGCAAATGCTCTCTCAATAATGAATCCCAAAGTGATTGCCAAAATGATGACAATTCGAGAGAAAGCCACAGAGCTGAGTAAGTTTGATTATTTAACATCTTTAATTATTTGACATCTTTGATTCTCGAAGTTGATGTGGAACATTTTCATGAAATTCAATAAGGTCAAATGTGTATTTGTGTTTAAAGCATTGAGATGTATGACTGATATTGTACTCTTTGTAAAGCATCTACAGCATGTTTAATTCAACCAGTCCTACATTGCTTCACTTTGCATTTCTTTTTTATATCTTCTGTATCTTGATTTTGTAGAAATACCACAAGTGATTGTGTTGACGAAAGTGGATCAAACATGTCAGATTGTCAACCAAGACTTGGAAAAAGTCTATGACAGTAGAAAGATTAAAGATAAGGTAATCTTTGTTATGTTTTTTAAAGGTAAAGTATAAAAACAAAGGCAATTTTTCATTTCTTTGTCAGCCCACTGGTACCTACCACCTTCTGTCATGTTTCATTGTTATAATCTGGCAAAAATGAAAAACTTCTGTTCTATCTATTTTCTTTTCACATTAACATTATTGTTTTTTTTTTTAATAATTAGCTAAATGCATTTCTTTTTTTACCTGTAAAAGGTTTATTCACCTCAAGCATGTAAAATACATGACAGAAAATTTAGCAACTGAATAAAAAAAATACAACAGGCTAGATTCAACATAGAACTGCAGAATATTTAGTCCATTCATACTGTACTGGAAAGTAGGAAAATTAAAGGGGTACGGTATGAATGTTTCTGACCTACATGTGATTTTAAAAATGCACTGTAGGGCAAAACCTTATCTTTAGACTATTGTAAAACAATGTCTCAGCCATCAGGCAAAGTGTTTGTAACCAAATCCTATAAAGGCATTGTTAGAAATTGGCTGCTTATAATTAAAATGACAAAGTTTCATATGAAATAGTGTTATGTAATAACATATGTAACTTTTAGTTCATTTAAATATATTTTAAGTAGTAAAACAAATTAATAATAAAGAAAATACATAAAAGGCAAAACCAAACTATGCCACTGGAAATGACTGATGGGTACACTTTCTTGCATTAATGGTAAAAGTATTATTTAAAACTCCTCCTAAGTGAACATTTTCAGTACCTATGGTTTGAAATCCCCCTTAAAATCACAGAGTACCCTGTTTTATCCACTTTGCAAGCCACCAATAGGGCAACTGGAATGCTATTTTTTTCACCAGAACTCTACTTCTGTAGTGAAATGCAAATACTCTAGACTTCACTGCCCCCTAGTGCTTGGGCCTTGGGTGGTGCATTACTACTGTGACCTTGAAGCCACAATTATCATAAATACCCAGTGTGAAGTATAGGAGTAAATGAAATAGGAAAAGTTTTTCTTTCAAATGGCCCTGCAAATTTTGGTAGAACATATGGACTCAAATATTCAATCAAACATTAGACTCGAGCTAGACCTTAACCCTATTGAAAGCCTGTAGACTAAGGCTGAAGAGGAGCATTCCCATGGATGGGCATCTGGAGAGATTTTGCATGGAGGAATGGTCTTGGATTGTTTTATGTGTTATATTGGCAAATGCATGGTGCCCAAACCTCCTTGAACCCCATGGCAACCAACTTGCAACATCTTAACAATCACTTGGGCAATAATCATGGATGGCTTTTTCTACAATATTGTACAAGTAAGACATACATGGATTATATTACACTAATATGTGTATCAAACCTGTCTGTTTCAGTTTTTACTGCCTGTTTATGTTTTAGATCCTTAAGTGAAAGAACCTTTCCTCAACAGGATCTATCATTAGGATTCTTTTTCCATTGATACTTAAATACAACACATAGAACATAGGAATTTTCCCACCCTTACAGCTGAAACCATGCATTCATCAGCACAAAATTATATAAATAGTGTCATCATATCACCAGCTGCTTACTCACTGTCTTTCCTGGAATCAGTAATGAGGTCACATCTCTGTTTTCTTTATGACTGTTACAGTACCTAAGTTCAACTTCTCAGAAACACAGGTTAGTCTTAAACATATTAACACTGAAATACATATATATGATAAGCATGTTACATATAGAGCCACTAGTCAAATACAGTTAACATATAGGTCAACTAAATTCTTTATTTCAAATTCATTCAGATGTTTTATGCATATCAGAACAAAGTCTGTATTACCCTTGACTCATATAGAAAGTGAAAGCATACAGCAGAAGTGGGCAGCCCTTATGCAGACGCACTAAACATTCCCATAACTTTTACTGCCCTAGGTTCAGTCAAACAGAACTCAACCAGTCCTGTGGTCATCCCACACGGTAAGATTAAACCTCTATACATGATACATTCTGCTGTTGTATTGTTGTACTCTTTGGATATAATTATGTACTTAAAACAGTCATAATAAATAAAGCTTAATACATAGTGACTAAACCACATAGAAGTGTCTAATTTAAGCTTTAAGTAAGTAAGCACTGCTTTAGTAAAGGGAAACAAAGTGTGCTTTTCAACATCTCACTGGGAATTGAATGTAAAAACTGAAGTAAAATTTTATAAAATGTTTTACTCTTGTAATTTAGACCTGGGTTTTACCGTGTGTTATGGTAAGAAATGGCAACATCTTCTACAGGTGAGTCTCTCAAGTCTTCATACTAGTGTATTTTCTCTCCAGTTTTTAAAAAAATAAATATATAAGTATTTATTAAATAAATTAATTAAATAAATAAGTAGTTCAGAGTAGTTGGAGACAGAATTGTTCACAGTGGTGATAGGATGATATGAACCACATGTCTGAAGCATTTACTACCCCTCATAGAAACCTATTCCATGAAATGGTTATGAACACACTGCCTACAACAACTGAAAACAATAATGTTAGAATGTGCACTACAGGTATAGGTGTATTGTTAGACTTACTGAGCTTTCCCCTGAATCCTCCCGGAAAGATTAAAAACATGGTTTGTTTTGTCTCATCAATTCGTTTTGAATGGATATCGTTGCATCACAGCTAACCATTCCTAGCTGGTTAGCTCATGCGCTAATATTCACAAAAATACCAAAAATGTATCTGCCACATCTGCATGTGTCAGCATCGGGATTCTGGTTCTTTATAAGCAAGGTCGCCACTTTGGATGGGTCACCACTTTGCAAAAAATCCATCTGTTTAAGCACATTTCTCAGTGATAATTGCAAGGATTTCAGGTACTTCACTCTCTACAGTGCATAATATCATCACAAAATTCAAGGAATCCAGAAAAAATTGTGTGTTTTAAAGGGCAAGACCAAAAAACTGAATGCCTTCAGATGGCACTGCATCTGCTTCTATATTGGATATCCAAACAAGAGCTTGGTAATACTTTGCAAAACATCATCTGTCACTGCTTTCACAAATTTGAGACTGTATTATGCACAGCATCCAGAAATATTGCTGACTTGTGTGGGTTTAAGCTCAAATGGACTGATGCACAGTGGAAGCATGAATTGTAGTCTGACGATTCAATCTTTCAGACTAATAATGGAAATAATGGACATTGTGTTCTCTGGGCTAAAGAAGAAGGAAGGAGCAGAAAGGACCATCCAGACTGTTACCAGTGTAAAGTTCAAAATCCACGGTCTGTCATGGTTTGGGGGATATTAGTACCTTGCACACATTTTGGATGTCCATGCTTACTTCAACATGACACCAAGTCACATTCTGCAAGTGTTACAACAGCATGGCGGCATTTGAGAGTGTGAGTCTAAGATTGGCCGGGCTATCTCCTGCTGAAATCACGAGGGGCATTATTAAGCTCAAAATACAACCACGGTGGCCACCTATGGTTGCGCAGCTGAAGACTTTTTTTTTTTCTTCAGTCCTTGAACAATTATGAAGTGTTGTTAAAAGGAATGGCGACGTAACACCATTGGAAACATGCTCCTCTCCCAACTTTTTTGGAACACGATACTTTCTTGGAATTGGGTTTGTACATTGCTGTGTAATTATTACTATGATTGTATTAAGATTCTCACTATATTGTAAGATTAAACTTTGCTGTATAATAATCAGTTATGCCAATTACTTCCACTAACATTTACAAATTTCATTTTATTACTCAGAACTAAGTGTACCTTGGAGGCCAGTGACATGGAGGTAAGAGTCTATATGCCAAGATGGAAATATATAGGAGATGAAATTGTATTTGAGGCACTGCATTTTTTGACACCAATTGGCTAGTCTATTTTCAAAATTAAAGAACAAATGCATTAATAAAGGAATAAAACAAACAAAAGTGTAAGCTTATAGTGTCTACCTTTGAGCTGGAACACAGAATTAATTACTGACTAAAAGGGCACCATCTGGACATTAGGAATTATTCATTTAAAACCAAATTTGGACCACATGTACAGAATAAATGTCAGAAGAAGCAGGCTAAATTTGATGTGAATTGGCATCAGCAGGTTGCTACAACAGTCAATTTTGCACTAGTTAAATAAAATGTTAGCATCTCTTGCTTAGATTAATTAGAGAAAAAATAATGGATTAAAAATCCAAAAATTAAAAGATTCCAAATGTTACAAACATATATATTTTTGTTCCAAGTGCACTATCACAATCAGTCAGTTTGATTTTAACCTCACCATGTTAGCATGACCAGTTAATCATTAGTATGAGGTACAAAAGAAATTGCACGTTGGAACCTAGTTGCCAATATGGTGCTTGTACCTTGATGATCACTGCTTGCAATTCTTCTTCTTCTTCTTCTTCTTCTTCTTCTTATTATTATTATTATTATTATAAGTATTTAAGAACATAAGTAATACAGAAACAAGCTTGGATTAATCAGTGTTGTTCAAAAAAATGGTCTTGGAATTTTAGTTCCCTGTTTGCTTACTGTCTGCACTCCATTTTTTTTTCTCAGAGAAAGTGCTGAGATATACAATCACTTGCATTTTTTTACACCAAGTTTGGAAGTCCTCAGAATTTTGCTGCATGGACCAACTGGAGCAGGGAAGTCATGCTTCATCAATTCTGTCCAGAGGATCCTCTTAGGCCGTAATGCCATTGGTGCTCTGGAACAAACAGCACGAACTGGAGCAAGCTTTACCCGTATGGTAAGTAACCACAAGACATGAAATTGAACAATTTAGATCATATAAGGGTGATCTATCTATCTATCTACCTATCTATCTATCTGTCTATCTATCTATCGGAGCTTTTTTCAATGATCTTAAGAATCTCCCATTAATTTACAAAAGTTGGTGTATTTTAGATGATTTAACTTTCAAATGTTGTAGTTGATCATTTTAGCCAAAATCTAGATCTATTGTCAAATATAAAAGTTCACTAAATCAAGATCCCTAATATACTTTAGTTACAGACTCATTAATAGAACTGTGTGAAGCAGAGGTGTGCAGGCCAATATACTGTAAGAGCAGAGTTCAGGAGTATATATCTAGTTCTTTAATTCCTACCTGTATCTAGGTTGAGTGTCCAATCTTATCTGCAGTTGGCAGGCGTGGCTGCAGGTTTTCAATCCAATACGCAGGAGCACACCTGGCGCTATTTGCTTAATCAGTCAGTCTCAGTCTTCAGAAAGTTGATCATATGTGTCCATGCATTGGTGGAATGAAAGCTCCAACCACACTGGCCTTTGTGGATAAGACTGGACACCCCTAGTTTAGCATTCCTCAAGCCCTAAAAGGCTAGAATACATCTAACCAGAACTTTCTTAAAGGTTTGATTGATTAAGCAGTATTTAGTTTGAACTTATGAAAGTATTTTTATGTACTGATGAGCATTATAAAACATTATAACCACTTACAGATGAAGTAAATAATGTTGATTAGGTAATAACAATGATGCATTCCAAGGGATGGAATATATTAGACGGTAAGTAAACAGTCTCGCAGTTGATGTGTTGCATGCAGGAGAAATGGGCAAGAATGAAGACTTGAGTGATTTTGACAAGGGCCAAATACTTATGGCCAGACCACTGTGTCTGAACATCTCTGAACCTACCGACAGTGATCTGTGAAGGGACAAACCACAAACCGGTGACAGATTGTTGGGCTCACAAGGCTCCTCGCATTCGGGTAGCAAAGATTATTCCACCTGGTCCAAACTGACAGATGGAATACTGCAGTACAAGTCACAGACATTTTTAATGATGGTTGCAGGAGGAATGTGTCACAACACACATCGCACTGTGCAGCTGCAGACTGGTCAGAGTGCCCCCTGGCCACTGATGAAATCATCTAAAAATGGGCAAGTGAGTGTCCAAACTAGAAGACGGTTGCCTGGTATGATGAGTCCTGATTTCTTGTTTATCAGGTGAACAGCCATTCACCTGGGTAAGTGATGGCACCAGGATGCACCGCAGGAAGAAGACAAACTGGAAGAGGGTTTATCGTGCTCAGTGAAATGTTTGGGTCTAGGCATTAGGTGGACATCATTTTAACACATGCCACCTGTCACTTTCTGTTGATGTAGAAATCTCCATGATTTGTGGTCAAGAGAGAGAAATTCATAAACCACTATGCTGGAGATTTTTGTTGCTGCTAACTGTTCCAATGGTGTTCACGCCTGAATTCCACACAAGTTCTAAGTGGAAACTAAAACATTGGGCCAGACACCTGTTGTGAATGAAGGAGTGGCAACTTGAGGCACATTGGTAGCAGGGTTCTAGAAGTGATACAGAGCTCTGTTCCACATCTTCTCACCTGCCAATCTACCAGTTAGTTTCTTTTAAGCACCCTCCTCATGGCATTCAGCTGATCCCAGGCAGTGTAGCCTAATCATGCATTGGCACATCCCCCATCTGATTAATATGTGCTAAATGGCTGGTTTGTTGAAAGTGCTTTAAAAATGTAGATAGAATATTCTTAGTATAGCAACATTTATATAATGAGGTTCAGTATGTTTGAATTTGTACTTAGATCAAAACTCACAGACTGAAGAGGTCTGGAGGAGGACGCTATCCTTTTGTTTTCTGCGACATCATGGGCCTTGAGCCAGAAGATGCAGGAGGAATACAAACTGAGGACATCATCAGTGTTTTGGAGGGACGTATTTCAGATGGCTACACTGTAAGTACACAAACGACTTTATACAACCAATTGTTGGGGTATCAACATTTCCAGCTTATCCCCAGCCAAGACAAATAATGTCTTGTTAGTGTTAAATGAAAATACACTGAAAAATTGGAAAGCTAAAATGTGTTCATGCTGTTTCACTAGCCCTAAGTACCTGGGTTACACTACTCTTGCCACTGTTTTGTAAATATCACTACAAGCTATTTCTTTTATAGACCTGTGACACTAGGGGTCAAATTCATGCTAGTTATGTGTTTTTCATATTTATCACATCATAAAGACGCAATGTTTCAGCAGGATATTATTAAATATATGAGTTCAAAAAAATTTAAATAAAGCTGAACCCTATAAGACTTACCAGCTTTTTACTGAACAGTCCCTACATTTCAGGGATGTTACCTAGATGGTTACTCCAAAATGTGTATGCACCTCTCAGCATGTACAAGTTGCATGTCCCATGCAATTGGCACTAACATTCTCTCATACCATGAAAGATGTTTTTGAACTTTATGCTGGTAACAATCAGGTTGGGCCTTTTCCTCCTTGGCCTAGAGAACATGACGATTTTTTTCCAAAAACAGTACAAAAAGTGGATTCGACAGATCACAGCACACATTTCTGCTTTGCGTCAGTCCATCTTAGATGAGCTTTAGTCCAGAAAAATTGTGAGAATTTCCGGCTGTTGATCTGTGCCTTCCCTTTTCCCATGTAGTGACGAGCTGTATTTACTGGCAAGGGTTTTCTGAAGTATTCCCTAGCCTGTGAGGTTATATTCATTACTGTTGGGTTTTTTTTATTGTAGTGCTCTCTAAGGGATTCAAGGTCATGGGAATTCATTATTGGTTTTCGTCCTTGCCCTTTAAGCACAGACATTCTCATGTCATGGACTGTAGATGGTAAAACTGAAACTTTTTAACTACACCTGAAAGTTTTTTCTTAAGTTTGCTCTTGAGAAAGGTCCTAAGAAAAAGTCTACGTCAGATTCACGATTCTAAGATCGCATAATTGCTCTCACCTTTGTGCTCTTGAGTGTGTGTAGATTCTGTTCTTACCTAAGAACAAATCCCATATATATAAAAAAAACAAAAAAACTGCATAAGTGGGTTTTAAGAAGAAATTTATTGTTCGGAACAGTTGATGAATGAAGCCCATTGTTTTTAAACTGTTGGACTACTTGCTTACACAGGTTTTTATGAGCCCTAAATGAATTACCTCTTTAATGCACAGTCCTTTCATTTCCAGACACCAAAAGTTATTGGACGTTATAGGTAAAATTAATGGAATTTTATATGAAATTATGATTAGGGCCGATTTCTTTCCAGCCTAATTGACCTTTGGATGTTTTTTTTAAACCCAAAGCTCATACTGTGGGCTAAATGAACACATGAAAACACTTTCAGTTCTTTCTATTAGCCAAAGTTGCAACATTAATGAGCATTTGCTTATAAATGAAAATGTTTTGCCTAACATGTATTAAATAAAGTGTTACGTTGAATGTAAGAGTTGGCTGACTATTTGCACTTGAGTCATGCATAATTATGCTATGATATATTGGTAAAGCAGCACTTAAGTACACTTACCTGGCTTACTTACCTGGCTCACACTATTTAAGTCATAAAACTGCAAAATAGATGAGTCAGATTTGATTGTGAATCCCTAATTCTTATGTTTAGGTCTTGGTTGCAAATCTTTTGCAAAAGATATCTGCCTTTTCCCAAATTAAGCTCTACCAGACTTGCAGTTTACCCATTTTCAGTTTTAAGGCTGCAGTTTATCATGCTGAATTGTGCGTTAATATAGTCCACTTTAGATGTTTTGTAGATACTACATTTATTTTCAAGTTACATCTACTAAATTGACCATAATTTTCTTGCACTCTAAACCTGCTCTAATCCTAACCCTAACCTTAACCTCAACCCAAAACCTAAACCAAACCCTTACCCTGGTCCTAGACCTAACCCTGGTCCAAATCCTAAACCTAACACCACCACTGTTTAAATCAACTGAGTTTCTATATATAGTTTGTTAACAATTTGAACATCTGTAGATAATCTATAGGTGATTATAGTGGACTATCCAAATAAAGTGAGACCATATATTTTAATACATTATATATAAATAAAAAAAACTAAATATTTGATTTTCTGTCTGCTTAGTTTAATCCTCTGTCACCGATAACTGCAGACAGCCCAAAGTACAACAGATACCCACATCCATGTCATAAAGTCCACTGTCTGGTGAGCATTCTTCCTGCAGACTCCATCGCAAGAATGAGTGACAAGGTGATTGACAAAATGAAGACAATTCGACAGAAAGCTGCCCAAATGGGTAAGTTTGGTTAATAAACCTGACATTTCTGATTTTTTAGGTTAATGAGAAATGAAAAATGTTATTTGACTTTTTTGTGAAACAATCAGTTTTTAAGTCACTTAAATGTCAGCATGTACATTGCTTAGCTTCTGTGTGTTGTTGTTTTCTTCTGTAACTTGATTTTGTAGGTATGCCACAAGTCGTTATCATGACGAAAGTGGATGAAGCTTGTGAGCTGGTCAATCGAGACCTGAGAAAAGTTTATCAGAGTAAAAAGATAAAAGAGAAGGTAAGCTATGTGTGGACTCCACTTGAAAAGATATAACATTTAAATTAGCAATTTTTAAGTTGCAAAAAAATGTAAAAAGAACATATACAATAAAAATGCAACTAACAAGAAAATTAAAGTAACAGTAATATTCCCATAAAACAAAACTAGTTAAAGGCTCAAGTAAAGAAATTTATTTTTTTACCGTTTTATAAAAACATTGACAGAAGGAGCCTGATGGATGTTTATTAGTAATGTGTTCCAGATCTTTGGTGCATAAAAACAAAACTCTGCCTCTCCACTCTTTTTAAGTTTCATATGTGGAATTTGGAGGAGGCAGCACTAGATAATCTTAAAGCTTGATTTGAAATGTAATGTATCAGCACTCTATTTAGAAGTTAAATCAGTCTAGAGTTACACCAAGATTCCTAACTTGTATTTTTCCAAGGCTTTCATACATCTTTTTCCTCTTTGCTTTAATACCAATTATAATTATTTGTCTTCATTAAGTTTTATTACATACATCATAGCCTCCCCCTCTCCCACCAAAAACTAAACATGTAAATATTTTCCATCACAAAATTTGCAGTACTGTTTGCAACCATACAGTGTGTAATGTTCCGTGACAGGGTGGCATGTCAAAATACCTGTAGGGCCAAGGCTACATGTTTACCTCCTTTCTTCAGGTACAGGAGTGCAGTAACAAACTGGGCATCCCCTTGAACTGCATCTACCCTGTGAAGAACTATCATGCAGAGATCACCCAAGATGCTGATGTTGATGTTCTCATCCTTATGGCGCTGAGGGACATTCTCAACTTCGCCAATGACTATGTGGAAGATCTGTATGAGTAGAGTTCCCTTTTCTGGCTTACTCATAACTTAGAACACAAAGAGCCATAAAACAGTGTAACTGTGATGTTAATAGCAAACAGTGAGATGGTAGCATGTTTGCTCATTCATAAACAAGGATTATCGATATGTTTTACTGCTTGTCCAGTGTGAGATGTGGCAGATTTTTTATTTTTTTTACATGTGTCAGTAGCGATTCATAATATGACACAATCACACAAAAAATAATGCCTAAACTGCTCTGGTAATCTTTCGAAGTAAAAGATACTTTTAATGTAAGTCAATGGAAACAGACTTTTTTCCAAATAATTTTAGGTAATTTCTTTTAGTCCATTGATCACATAATTTACATACAATGTAAAGGGTAACGTGTATTTTCAAATTATGTCAAAAACTGAAAAACGTCAAAAATTGAGATATGAGGTTGTCTTCTGTCAACAGCAATATATATAAAAAAAAATCTACAGGCATATATAAAACTAAAAATATACAAAAAATAAATGCAATAAGACCTATCATGTGATAGAAAAAGGCAGTGCAATAATTAATGTACAAGAAGACACAGGTAACAGCACAATAATGTAATAACAGTATTATAAACATATAATAATTGTTGTAATATAAAAATAATATAATAATAGTGCATAGGTGTGGAGTAGTGTCCAGAGGTGCAAGATGTACAATAAGGTGTGCAGAAGTGCAATATGTACAGTAAGTTGTCCAAAAAGATGATGTGGATTCAATTATATTTTCCACAAAGTGTTCAAATGTTTGGTCACACATGCAAGTAATCCACAAATTATACCGACATGCCAAAAGTCATTGGATAGCAGTATGTAAATTGATTATGAAGTGGCACTACTTCAATGGAAGGCTTGGAAATGCCTACATCTGTATAAGTTGTAAGGTGAAATCTTGTGAGTGAAGTTGAACACTGGCCAGCGTGCTCATGGCAAGGTGATGTGAATTATCAAACGAGGCATGATGGTGAGTGCCAGATGGATGGGACATTCCCAAGATGTGCACTCATTTAGCATTCCTCGATCCACAGTGTCAGTGTGTACCGGGAATACGTCATACAAGGTATTACCACCCACAGTGGACAGTGCAGTGGCCACCCAGGGGAGCTTAATGATTGTGACCAGCAAACAGACAAGTGACTCTGGCAATATCCACATACATATCCTGCAGGTCAGTGCAGTATTCTTCAGCTTCCATGGGATATGGGAGCACCATGACATCAGACACAGCAAGATTGGGTCCACTGGTCGGCCGAAACACGTCATTGACCGGTGACCACTATGTTTTACTGCTTGTTGACCATTTGCAGCGTTCATGGATTTCATTTTCAGGAGCATTCTGGAGAGTTCCGATAAATGGTGTGGCCTGCATGTTCGCCTGACATAAGCCCAATCGAGCATTTATGGGATGTGGTGAAGAGGTCTATTTGCACCCGAAATCCTGCACCGTCAAGTACCACAGAGCTGTCGGTGGCCATCCAGATGGCATGGCTCAACATTCCTCTAGACATCTTCTGTCCACTTGTGGAATCGATTCTACATTGAGTTGCTGCACTTCGCCGGGCTAGAGGGGGTCCTACACAATACTGGTTCCTGTCCCATGACTTTTGGCACATCACTGTGTATATGATCACACATTCAGCTGTTAATTGAAAAGGCACATTGTGATTTGTTTGAACAGAGGATCATGGCAAACCTTCTAACTGCTAGTGTTGGAGAAGATTATTAAGATTTCACCAACATTTACTGTAAAAAAATGCAAATGTAGGTGTTTCAAAGGAAGATGTTAGAAACATCTTTCACACTTTCAAACACTGTACTTAAAACAGCTTTTTGTTCTTGCATCAAATTTGATGTTTCACAAATCCCTCCTGCTGTGTATGGAAAATAAGAGTAGGTTGTAATCCAAGTAAGTGAAGAGTAATGAGTCAATGTTGCTAAAAGGTTCAAATTGAGTTTATTGCAAGTGGTTTAAGCTTTTAAACTATTTTTTAATTGCAGTGGCTTTTAAAAAAGAATTCTGTTTACACATGTGAAAATGATATTGTTGCTAGTGAAAATTTATTTCAAAACTGATTTTCTCTAATTGATCTTTAATATTTGCAAAGTTGAAATTAATTTTCCCATGTACAAACTGTATTCCTGATTTCAAGAATTCAATATTTACTAAATATGTCAAATTAGCTTTTAATTGAAATACAAAATGCTTCATATCAAATGTTAAGTACAGATTTGTGTGCCAAAATATAATTCCTACAATTAAAAATGTATGTAAGGTCATTTTTGATATCAAGCAGTCAACCTTTATTTAAACTCAGAAACATTAGACCCTATTTACAATGTAGTTGAGCCAATACTGAAATCAGAGATTGAGAAGTTGGATAGTAAAAACATATCAAATGCTAAAAAAGTAATAATGATCATAGTAGTAAATTTATTAGTAAAACATATAAAAAATATAAATAAACTGTTAAAATATAGTAACGTATTAAATAACAGATCAGATAATTAATTCAATAAAAAAGAAATAGAAGATATAAGGCAATAAATTGGCAATAATCAAATAAATAATAACAATGAAAAGTGAAACCATAGCTAAAACATATTTAAAATATACCAAAATCATATTAAAAGTTCAGTAAAATCAAGCACAGCAGTTGCAGGCCGAGTGGAGGTGTTAGACTGAAAGTTTGAAGTGTTCATGTGGCACCAGTGAGTGGAGCTTTAGCGTTTTCTGTAATGAATTCCGGCTCATTGGTTCTGTAGCTAAAAACAGATTTTCCCAGTTCAGTAAAAACTCTCAGCGAGAGGGTGACCCCATCACTGTAGCGAGGCTGATACACTGCATTATTTACACATTGTGGGCAGTCGTGGGCTGGAGATTAGGGAACCAGCCTTGTGACCGGAAGGTTGCCAGTTCGATCCCCACAGTCCGAGCACTGTGGAGAAGGCTGCCCACTGCTCCAGGCAAGTGTGCTCACTGCCCCTTACTGTGTGTTCACTGGTGTGCATGTATGTGGGTGTTTTATTGCATGGGTGAGTAAAATGCGGCGGTCTAATTCCTTTGTGTGCACAGTTAACCAGTGGTTCTGAATTCTAATTCTAATACATATATACATGTCTTTGTTCTCAAGTATCAACAAGATTTTATTCATAGTTCTGTTTATGGGAATTTTAGTTTTCTGTGTGTTTTTGCTTCCAGCCAATCAGAGCTTCACTGGTGTGGATCTTCCATATGTATAAGCTCATTTACATATTTATTGGTTTTTGCTACACAGGAATAAAAAAGAGAATAGCTCGATAATCACTCCTGCATGACTTTATGAATAGCTCTTATTTACCATGCCACACATTTTGTGTGGTGTAGTGCTGATACTGCCCAGATTTATGATTCTGGCCTATAACTTTTGGTTGATTTGGGATTTTGTATTATTATTTATCTTCTGATGTTAGTGTGACTAGATCTGGGCTCTGGAATAGGTCTTCCCTTGGCTTAAATATTTTAGCATGGAGGAAAAACACTTAAAAAAGAAAAAAACCTTAAGGACTTGTTTAATTTTGTTATTCATTGTCTATTAAAACTGCACAATAAAACCCTGAAAATTACAATTTCTTGCATGATGTGTCCTTCATCCTTTCCTTGTGTGCGTCAGGGACGTGTCTACATAGGTGGCACAGATGCAAATGCAAATGGGTCTTTGTTTCTACATTATTAGATGGTGCGACTCCTTATAATTTTCATATAATCTTCTATGATATATTGTGTATAAGACTTTATACTTCTGCTATGTAAAATATAATGTTTATAAAGATATAAAGTTTACTACTACAGCTTAAATCCACTTACATAAAAATCTGCACTATTCACATTTATTTGAATTCCTTGTAGAGTTCAAAAGATACATTACAGATTTAGAATTTTATTTCTGAGATGTAATATTAAAATGACACATATACTATAGCAGTATATTGTATTGCATTAAAAAATATTAATAGTTAAGTAATATTTTATGGATAAAAAAAAATCTGATAGATCTGTTTTTGATGCATTACAATGCATTTTGATGCATAACTAAATTTTAAAAGTCATTTGTCGCTAAAATTAAAATTACGAAAATATGTGGCAGACTAAAATTATATTTTATATCTGAACTTATAATTTAAAATGAAATCTATATATTTCCCAACACTAGTATTTATATACATTTACATTTTGATTTTAGTCTCCAAATTAGATTTTTTTTTGTAATTTTTGTTTGTATGACTTCAATTAAATTGTTTGTTATTAAATATTTGTTTAGCGACACATAATTAACATTTTTAAGAAATTAAAAACTTGCAACTTGCAAAACAAATGCATTTTGTCACTTTCTGTCACTTTCTGTTCTTTTTGACCAGTATAAAATCATACATGTTGGACCGGAGAAACAGTCATTTGCAAAGGTTTGGACACCCCTGGTCAAATGACATTTTGTTGATTTTCTAAGTGAGAATAAGTGAACACATCCTCTACAAAGAACACACTTCTGCACATTTTAGTGCATAATTAGTGTTTATTTGCTGAATTCAACATAATGGAGAAAGTAAAACATGTGGTCTGTGAAAAAGTAACGGCACATTTTGTATTGTGTGTTTTCTTTTTTTCTGATATGTTAAACTCAGCCTTCAACAAAAATTGTGGACTAAAATTTGTGGGGAAAATGCCACATTTAAGTGTGTTTCATGTAGAGGATATGCAAACTTATTTTCACTCAGAAAATCAACAAAACATACCAATTGGCTGGGGGTGTCTTTTTTTGCATTTGACTGTGTAGAACTGTAGCGGCATCACATGTGCTACAGCAGGAAAGGTGCAAACTATGCAGAGCTGTTGACCTTGCCCCCTCCATTAAAGTTTGTGAATCTCATTACTGGGTCTCAGGCACTGATAAACCAGATGATCCTAAATTATGAGCCAAATGCACTGATAAACTCATGAACCCATGCTTATATGACTGTGCACTGCTCAGTAGCTTTATAATCATGAGGCTGTGATTGTGAAATAGTTCAATATATAATGACCTTTGTTTGCACGTACATCCACAGACTTTCAGCATAGTTGTGGAAGCACTCTTCGCATAAAGCTGCCTATGTGTAGTCCCTCTGTTTTGCTCTCTCTGCTGATTACAACCCCAATGTAAAAAATGAGAAGTCAGGTCAAACATGGTGTAAGGTAACTTACACTGTGTTTCTTGAGGTAACTTGAAGACACTTCTTAGTTTAGTCTAAAATTTACTTGGCTCTGGGTAAACCTGGGTAACTTCAGGAGCTTGCAAGTTGTGGAGGGGGCCAAGCATTCACCCCCACCAGTTGGTTGTGACCTCGAACCCCCAGTTATACCACAGCCATCCATAACTGGGACCCCATATTTGGTTTAAACCCAATTGAGCACTAGTTAAAGTGGAAACACAAGTCAGAACACCATCTAAACAGTTACTAACTGAAAGATGCTGCTGTTCCATGTTTGAAAAAGAGATGTGTGAGTGTGTAGAATTCTTTTTTGAAGGTGTAAAGAACCTAAACATAATAAACCCATTCACTGAAAGGTTCTTAAGGCAACCAAAAATGTCTGCATAAGATGGCCATGTTTTTTTATTGATTTTCTGTCCTCTTGGACTCATGCTGAATGCTAAAACTCTGATTCACAGCTGGATAGGCTGAGTGCACTCAGTGTAGTGAATTGGGACACTGCATTTGTCTTGCGTTTTTTCCATCCCTCCCCCACTCTCTCACCTCAGAAGTATGCAAACACCACATGGCTAGCATTTAGCCTTAGTTTTATAATTGTGACTGCATTTTGAATCTTTTTTTTCATGTATTAGCTGTAAATTTCTGATTATCAGCACTAAACTCAGAGTCTGAGTCAATCAGAGGACTGTTCTAGACACGAGGGAAAGTTCTAGATTTGTACACGTGCAGTCAGACATTTAAATGGGGCATTTAAATAAGTAGACTGACTTGGAAGTCTATAACTTTCCACCTTTTATCAATTTACTATTATTATATTATCACTTTATTACTTTGAAGCAATGGTTCTTTTAAAGTATCTTTTTAGTTTAATAAAAGTCACTAATATACCTGCTACCACATGATATATTTTTAAATTGAACCAGTGAACCATTTTTTGTACAGTGTAACTAGACAAAATTTCATGAATAATGCCCTAACTTTAAAATAACACTTTCTTTTACAGTCCCTCAAGTTCTAGGCATTAACAAGGCATTTTACCCAAGATAATTACTACTGTGGAGTGTGTACCCAAGTAATGTCTACAACATGTTTGGAACTTCAGTGCAATTTTGTTAAACTGTTCTGAAACTTAGCATAACATTACCCAAAATAATTTTCTAGTAATTTGCAGTTTGCACCTTGTACTTGCCAGGTTAATATGTAGTTAAACTGTTTCGAAACCTACCATAATGTCACTCAAAATAATTATAAAGTACTTTGGAGTTTGTACCTTATACTTAACTTGTTAATATCTGCAACATAAGGTGTCGGGAAGATCTTGAGACAGTTTGTATGGAATTATAATCAAGACCATGTTATCTTGGCAGAGGGTGCATAAATCACTATGTATGCCAGAAGTGCTTAGACTCTAGGTCATCTCTCTTCCTTTACTTTTAAAAACAAGCTTCCCAGAAACAGCTTACTCAGTGTCTTTCCTGAAATCGATAATAAACTCTATTATATAATAACCATCTCTTTTATCTTTATAACCATTACAGTAAAAGTTCAAAAGTCTTCTCAAGAACATAGGTTAGTTTTATGCATGTCAAAAACCATGTCTGAATATACAATAAACTTGACTCATACGCTGAAAGTGAAAGTGTACAGGAGAGTGGGCAGGTCATGTCGACTCCAAAAACATATCTACAACTAGTGAAACAGAGCTTGACTGGTACGGCAGTCCTCCCACATGGTAAGATAGAACCTTTGTGCACTTATTTTGCAAGTGTGTGTTTGTGTGGTAATTATTTGTTAAATGTTCAAAGTTGTCTAGGCTGTTCGGCTACTTTTGTTTGGAAGAAAGGTTAAAGTATAAATTTTACGTAAAGGTGATTGTATTACTTTGTACAAATGGGATGTATTTTCAAGTTAAACAAACACTATCACAATGTAATATTCAAACATTTTATTCAACTATTATTCATATGTAGGTCATCAGTGTATTATTATTATTATTATATTATAATTAGTAATAATAATAATAATAATAATATACAGAAAAAGAAAATGATACACTCTACCTTCATCTTTTTTGTGTGGTTTTTGCAGCCAACTTGTAAAAGATCCTACAGAAATGTGACTTCATGATCACTATTCAAAGCCAGATTTGAAAAAGAAAAAATATTCAAATGGAGCTAAAAGCTATAAAATCTCCAATTATTTGCCTGATCAAGACAGTATGTGCAATTCGGGACACACAGTGAATGCAAAGGGAGGGTGCATAAATCAAGGATGCCACTAACCCTGCTAATAACTAGCAATGTAAACAACCCACAGCAGCAGATCCCATTTTATATTGCTTTTTTAAGATTTTTACTTTCTGGCACAGATGAGTCCTTAATTCCATGAAAGATATCAGATAATGAAGGGGATTCATTCAATGACTTCACCAGCATTCAGCTGGCACCGGTACAGATCCCAGAATGTAATTTCTGCATCATTTAATGTGAAACAGAAAATTCAAATATGAAATTGGACAATAGGAAGCCAACTCCAACCCTAATGTTACTGTAGTAGTAAATGTGTTTGTGATAAAGTAGGAATCCAGGTAGCTGGCCAGAAAAGTCCTGTCCAAACTTAGGTATTATACTGAGTAAGCCATGAAGCTTCATCTGTTTTCATTAAATGTTAACTCTCAAAGCACCTCATCTTGATGTTAGCATCCTACTTTGCTTCTACACAATAAAAATTAAGTGTGTTTTGAAGGTTGAAGATTAAAAGCCATTTTCTCAAATTAAGGACACAAAAATAAACTGTGATTGCCCTCTAAGGACATTTTTAAGTTGTATACATGTTTTCCAAAGCAGCACAAGAGTTCACTCTTGGTCATCTTACCATAGACTATTCTTTCTTATGACCTAAGAGTTCTTTCAGTGCTTTTTTGTGCAGTGATGAACACACAATAGGTAGATACTATGTAATTTCTATGTCCTAAAAGCATTTTTACAATTATATTGCCATAATACCACAGATGACTTTCTAGCAAACATATCAAGCAAAATAGAAATCATGACTTTTTTTTTTGTCCCCTGTACATATCTGTTTTGTTTTTTGTTTTTTTTATGAGGTGCATGTATTTACAAACAATATTTATAAGTACAACATAATAATATACTACATTTTCTAACTTTCACAGAGAAAAAAATGGGAAATTCATGCTCAAAAAAATCTTCCCATCATTATTGTACACCAGGTAATATGCCGAGACTGATATCATGCTGGTACCATAATATATGTTTTGGGTGGATTTATTTATTTATTTATGAAATTCCAATTGTCTATATTTGTTGTGAACATTAGTGGCACTACAACAAATGATCCCTTTGTCTTTTTGCTAAGATGAAAGACTGGGAAGCCCACTGAATAATGCATGCAACAGGATACTAGGTGAGTACAAGAAATTCCATTTATTTGAACTCTCCATAAATTTATAAAATGACAAAACCCTGAATATGACAAAAACCCTGAATATGACAAAGCCCTGAATATATTACAGAATGAAGCGCAATATCTAAATTACCATCACACCAGTTGCGCTTCATTTAAATGTCTTCCATGTTTCACTCTAGCCATGTCAACCCACACTACCCTATACAGTTTACATTGCACTTGTTGGACTTAACACTCATTAAGATACTGTTCTGTTTCCTTCTATGCATGCAGACATCCTCCTGGTCAGTCCATGAGCCCCTTTAGCCTGTCCTAAGCCCGGCTAATGCCTTACCATAGAGAGCCAATGAATACACCACATTTTTTAACAAAAGTCAATTTGCATTCATTGGGCTTCAAATAAAAAAAATGACAAGCAACAGCTGCAGCAACAAAAAAAATAAATAAATAAAGGCTGTACCACATGAGTTCCCTTTTTAAACATCTGAAATCCTAGAGGCTACCCTTCCTTTCACCACACAGTGACCCAACAAAGGGCTCAGCCACTTTGCTCCTCCTGGCTTCTGCCTGCAAATAAAATGAGACAGCAACAATCATCTAGTTGCCCTGCAATGGAACACCTGTTGTCCTGGGCTAAACCATTTCAAGGGCGCCAAGAATGGTATAAAATGTAAAAAAAACACCAAAAGGTCCTATTGATATAGCATAGGATGAAGACTACAGTTAGTCAACACTGTCAGTTGTACCCTCAGAGGTGCAACAATGGTCTTAAAGTTTTTCCATGCATATTTCTCTTTCCATGTATATTTCTCAATGCAACTGAAATATGGTACAATAGTGTTCCTTAACTGAAGGTACTGAAGACGCACACTTGAGGGTACCAAACCAAGGGATATACCACCCCAGTGTGAATTTAGGACCTTTTTTGCAGCCCATGTGTCCCATTATGCCTCAGATATTATTATGATCACTGCAAACAGAGCGAATTATGCTTTTAGCAAAATTTTTGGTTATCATACTTGATATCTGCTAACATTAGGAAAAAGATGGAAATCTGGCTAAAGCACATAATAATGACAAGTGAATATATTTCCATTTGCCAGTTGCTGTATTGTGTAACAAGAATACATATGTTTACTGAAGCATTTTGGTAGTACTTAACACTATTTTGTAACTTTTTAGCATTAAGTGCTGAGATATACTTGATATTTACTTAGTTACACCGCACTTACAAACTGAACCTGCAAAATATGCATCAAGTATTACTTGTACAACATACAACATAACCTATTTGTAACTATTTCACAGAGAGAAAAAGGAACAATGGACCATCAACACCTCCTCTTTTTTGTGCACCAGGTAACGTTCTAAGACAGAAAAAACACAAGTAAACTATTATATATTTTCATAATTATATTAATTATAAATAAAAACAAAATTTAAATTATAGATAAGCTGTGACCAAAAGTGGTAGTATACATTAATGCTCTCCCTTGCTATTAAGATGATGAACAAGGACATCCTCCAGACCACACAGACAACAGAGTACAAAGTAAGTACAACATATTCACTTTTATTAACTCTACATAAATTCACAAAGTGACACTTAACACAGGCCTGAAGTTACGTAGCTAGGCTTTTTTTTTCATGATATACATTGTTGGGAGTGGACTTTACACATGCAACACATATTGATGCTATATCATGATGAATACCCATCTCTTCATATCCAAACTTGTTGTACATGGATATAAAGTATTTTGAAACGAAATTCTTAGATTAGATGCATTTCTCGTAAATTAGCAAACTGGATGTTTCTGTAGGCTTCTGAATTAATTTTGCTACTGCTGTTAAGCAGCACAACCTTGATTAAGATTGGTGAGCCCCTTCAGGAGCAGTCCAAGCCATGACACTACCTCCGCCATGCTTGACTAGTGAGCTTGTATGTTTTGGATCATGAGGAGATCCCTTTTTTCTCCAAACTTTGGCTTTTCCATCACTTTGGTAGAGGTTAATCGTGGTCTTTTCAGTCCATAAAACTCTTTTTCAGAACTTTTGTGGCTCATTTTTGCATTTCTTTGAGATTGCTAATTTGGCTATCTGATATTTATTGCTGTTGAATGGTAATATTTGTATAGTTAAGCATTATGTTATTGAAGAAGTTATGCTGTGATACAGTAAAAAGGTTTGTTAGGTTCAGTCTAAATTTGAAGTGCAAAGTGTCCTCTGTGGTTAATGAACACTACAGCTCTGGGGAAAAAGTTGTTAGCATGTCTGGTTGTGCTGGTTTTGATGGCGGTGAATCTTCTACCAGAGGCAAGTGGTGATGTCCAGGATGAAAGGGGACAGCTGTAATTTTGCAAGCATGCTTCATTACCCTGCTGATGCTGATGTCCTGAAGCATTGGGAGACTACAGCCAATGATCCTCTCCACTGTCCTGATTATGCACTGAAGTTTGGCTCATTCTTATGAGGTGGAGAAACCAAACCAGATGGTTATCATCGCTGTGTACAACTGGATCGTCAGACTCTGTGGCAGGATGAATTTCTTCAGTTGTCTCAGGAAAAACATTCTCTGTTGTGCTCTCTTGGTTCCCCTCTCGTTTCAGTATACGGTGGTGCCCAGGAACTTGAGTGACTCTGCAGTGGAAACCACAGAGCTGTTGATGTTGAAAGGGAGTAGGGAAGGGAGGTTACATCTGAGGTCCACCACCATATCTACAGTCTTTTGCATGTTCAACAGCAGGTAGTTACTGCTGCACAGCTGCTCCACTTCCTTTCGGTAGGCAGACTCATCACTGTTGGCTATGAAGCCCACCACAGTGGTGCCATCTGCAAACTTAAGGATCTGCACAGGCTGTTCCTTAGAGACATGGTCATTGGTGTAAAGCAAGTGTATTTAATTAAAATTCAGTAAGGTCCAGTTAGAGAAAATTTCCTCAAGCAAAGGTCCGGAACATCAGAATGTCTAACTTTATGATTCAGTGCCATATACTGTATACTAAAGTAACCTGGTAGATATATTAACATCTTATGCAGTCAACAACTGAATGTCAAATCAAATAAAGTACAATTCAATCATATTTCAACAACATTTCTTGTCAGTTTCTCTTTTTAGAGCACGACATGTGAAATAACTTCACTCTGACTCACTTTCTTCTCCGACTGCTGTGTCTCGCCTCATCCCTCCCCTGTGTGTGCATCACTCGAGTCTCAGTGCTCATCGTAATGCACAGATCTGATTAGCTGAGTAGCGTCACGTGTGATATATTCAACGCATGTGATTGGTCTGTGAGTTTCACGGGCCACTAAAGTGGTACTGTAAAGGCTAGAATAATTCTCCATAGTTTATCAGTTATAGGTCCAGGTCAGCAGACTCGGACCACGGTCCGCCTATTAGTGACGTCTGCTGTAGAGGCTGAACAGAAGGGGTGAGGGCACACAACCTTGTGATATTCCAGAACTGATGGTCTGGAGGTCTGACATGCTTTCCTAGCCACACCTGCTAGGACCTGTTTGTCAGGAAATCCATAATCCACTGGCAGAGACAGCTGGGACAGTTTGACTTGCAGCAGCCCTGGCACTATTGTGTTGAATGCCGAGCTGAAGTCCACAAATAGAACTCCACCCTAGGTTCCAGGACTGCTGAGATGCTGCAATATGATGAGAAGGGCTGACTTGGCAGCATCATCAAAAGATTGTAAGCTCTATATGTGAATTGTAGAGGACCAGCAAAGGGTCTGTGATGGCCTTCAGGTGGGCAAGGACCAAAAATTCAAAGACCTTCATGACTACAAAGGTCAGGGCCACTGGCATGTAGTCATTTAGTCCAGTAATGTTCATTTTTTGGGGGGAATGAAATGATGGTAGGTGTTTTGAAGCATGTGGGAACAGAGCAAATTCCAGTGATTTGTTGAAGATGTGAAAATTGCTGCTAGTTGGTCACAGCAGTGCTTTAGGGTGGACAGAGAGACTAAGTCTGACCCTGGAGCTTTTCTGACTTTTTGTTTGAGTTTTCCACAGCAAGTTCAGTCATAGAAGTTGGTTGCATTATATATTTCATACAATCCATGTATTTCCAAACATATTCAGTGATGTTGAGATCTGGAATCTGGGGTGGCCAGTGCATTGTTCTGAGAACACCTGCAGCTTCTTAGCTTGATTTATCTATTTTCTTTTCTCAGTGAGGCTTCGTGACAGCTACACATCCTTTTAGACCCATTGTCTTACACTGAGTTGTCTTCCCACAGTGCAAGGATGGACAGAAACACCTGTGAATTGTTTTGAAGTCAAAAACATTAAGTACTGTTTATAAGATGGGGACAGTTTTGGTGGCCTACCAGATCTTGCACTGTTGTTAGGAACCTTTTTCCTCTTCATCTTTTGTCAGTTTTTATATTCCAGTTTTCAGCAGATTATCTTATATCTAATCTTCTCAGAAATATTAAATGAATAGCTTGTTCTTAATAGTGAAGACTGAATAAATGAAAGGGAAATCTGACTTTTTTTACCGTACTATATGTATAAATTCCAAATTTTATTGAATGTATGTATAGTTTATATACATACAAGTACATTAAGCACTAAACTCATAGCTAAATTGTTAAGAAAGTCACTATGTGAAAGTTCTATATAGCCTATATAACTTCATTTGATTACATTCTTGGCTTTCTTTAAACTCTTTCTGCATAGACACAATGACTGTAGGGACATCGAATGCTTCTCCTCCTCCTCTTCCTGCACGAGGTAAGTGTTGTCTGTCAAAATGGAGAAACAAACAAAACAAAAACATGTAAAAATTTAAATACTTTTACAAATAAGTTCAGTCTTAGAAGTCGGTTGCATTTCTGCTTTTAACAATCCAAATATTCCAACAAATTCTACATGCAAAGCAAATACAAAACAAATAGTACAGAGTCTAAATCAAGTCTGAGATGGTAAAAAAACTGTCTCGAGTCTAGTCTGAAGTCCAATCAGACTTGAGTGTCACTAGAGGTTAACGTTAACGTTAAGAAGTAGCCACTGAAATATTATTTCATTGATCAGGTTTGTTGCTGATAAACTTCAAGCAAACAAATCATATTCTGTCACATAGGCAAAACAATGTTATAAATATGTTTTAGAGAAGTCACCTTCTGAAAATTCTATATTATTTCTATGGTTTTTTGGGTTTTAGAGCAATGACTGTACCAAGTCAGAATGAGCCCGACCCCCCCAGAGGATTCTGGGAGATGGAGTCCTTGGAGGCTTCAGAGCAAGAGAGAAGTGTGACATTGACATAGTTTGTTCATGACTAATTTCCATTTCACAGGTCAAAGGCTAATATCAGAACGTGTTCCTCCTGTGCTTTCACAAGGTATGTCTCTCCTGGTTCAATATAGAGATAGAAAAGTTACATGCAAATAATGTTTTTTGGTCCCACTTTATATTAAGTGTCTCTAATAACTGTGTAGATACATGTGAACAACATGCAACAACACTGTAACTACTAATGATTTAGTCACATTACAGGTGGATTATAGAAGTACAGCCTATGTAATTACACAAGTGTATCTTAATAGTTGTAACAGCCTATGCTCTCATGTAATTACACAAATGAAATAAACAAATGTAATTACACTGTAATCACTGGAACAGCATTTTTTAGCAGTTTATTTCCTGTTTTCCAGCAGTAAAAGGAAGTATGTAATAACTTACATCAAGACATTACTTACATTGTGTCTGCCAGCTTTTCTAACATTTAGCTAGCATTTATGTTGCTAATGCTGTGACATTGTAACCACTTTCTGTATATCTGACAATACAGCAGATGTCCCCTTATCTTAAAATGTAACTTTTATGACATTAAGTAAATGTGTTGCATTACCCCAAAGCAATGTCTACATTACCACTCCATTATTACACAGTACCTATATAACAATTACACAGGAACTGTCCACTTATTTTAAAGTGTAACTTTAACACTACAGTACAGAAAGGTTCCTCTTTAGAAGTTACACTTGTGTAATTACATGAGGCAAAACTGAAGTTGATACACATCTGTAATTACACAGGCTGTACTTCGGTAATCCGTCTGTAACACTGACTAAATCAACAGTAGTTACAGTGTTGTTACATATGTTGTTCATGTGTAACTGCACAGTTATTAGAGACAATATAAACTGGAACCTGTTTTTCTGTAGTTATATAAAAAATCTATGATCTATTTTTACACATTTACTGTAGTGTGTAAATGCCAGAGATCACCTTGTATTTGTTTATATTCCAGTCAGAGCAGAAAACATAGTATTTAGTGTGTCCATTCTTTACCTCTATTATGACTTCCATTCTTTTAAGGAGATGTGCTTACCTCAGTCTTGGAAGTTGATTGTACTTTCTGCCTCTCACAATCCACATATTCCCAAAATCAAGCACATAGCCATGCAGTCTCAGACAGACAAACACTGGCAGTAGAACTGGTCATACTGAAGAGTTCAGTAACTTTAAACATGGCCCTGTCATAAGATCCCACCTTTTCTACAAGTCAGTTTGTGAATTTTCTTGGCCTGCTAGATCCTCCCTGATAGGCTGTTGGACGAATCTGCGTTTGGCGGATGCCAGTAAAACACTACCTATTGAAAAGCATAGTGCTAACAGTAAAGTTTGGTGGAGGGGGAAATAATAGCCTGAAGCTGTTTTTTAGGGTTTTGGCCCCTTAGTTCCCATGAAAGGTAATTTTAAAGCTACAACATACACATTTTAGACAACTGCTTGCTTAAGTTCATTAACCTGAGGTTAACAGAATAATTAGCATGCAACCCAATGGTCATGTTTTAAATAAACTTCAATTATCAGTTTGATTCTGTCACATGGTCAACAAAGCACTAATCCTATAGTTACATTGTTAGAGAAGTTAGTATGTGAAAATTGTATAGTATTTGTCTTTACCTATGAAACATGCAAACATTGCAGAATATTAAACAATTATATTAGCACTAACACTTTTATTTTATTTTACTTTATTATTTAGTACTAAATGAGCCTTGGAGGCAAGTGATATGGAGGTAAGTGTCTATATGCCTATAAAATGATAAAATTATATTTGAAACAGTTTATAAGAGATTAAAAAGAGAAAGCTTACAGTGGAGGGTTTGGTTGTAATTTTCATATATTAAAAATACACATACTGCCCACTTAGAAACACTTCCCTTAGGTCCACTCTAGGCCTGGGCGATGTAATTTGATATTGTCAATGATTGACAATATCAAGTATCTTGATGATGAACTTCATTCACCTTTAAACAGCTTCATAAATTATATAAACTAATATGTACACAATGTTTTTCCATGCACTCCACAAACATTAATTATTTATTACCTTTCCTTTAGATCTCTTTCATCAAAAAAGATTACAACAGGGGTGCACAACTCTGGTCCTGGAGGGCCAGTGTCCAGCACAATTTGGTGATTTACCTGCTCCAGCACACCTGATTAAACTTATCTTTTAATTGCCAGGTTAATTGGGTGTGTCTGAGCCAGGAAACCTCCAAACTGTGCTGGACACCAGTCCTCCAGGACCAGAGTTGTGCACCCCTGAGCTACAATGATTAAAAGAAAATGCTAAATCTTTCACAAAATCTTTTGAAATCCATGTGTGCCACAATTGTTGACACCCCTTGATTTAATACTTTGTGCTGATTCCTTTTACAAAGATAGCAGTTCTGATTCTTCTCTGTAATGCTTAATGAGACTGGAGAACCCATGACAAGTGATCTGAGACCTCCATACAGAACCTCCCCAGATCCTTCAGATTCACACTCCAGTCCATCCCATAGGCTTTCTATAAAGTTTAGGTCAGGGGCTAGGATGGCCATGGCAAAGCCTCAATTCTATGGTCAGGGAACCATTTTTGCCTTGATTTTGAAGTGTGTTTTGGATCATTGCCCTGCTGAAAGGTTCAACCATGACCCAGTTTCAGCTTCTTGACTGCTGCAGCTGGGTTTCGATTTAATATCTGCTCATACTTGATTAATCCCATCTTACTTTGCATCCAAACAAGTTGTCCAGAGCCTTTGGAAGAAAAACAGCCCCACAGTATCACAGATCCACCACCATACTTCACAGTGGGGATGAGATACTTTTTAACATCTGGCAAACTGTAGGTGCTTGAGTTTGTTCGTCCTTGGCAGGAGAGGCTTTCATCTGGAAACCCCCCAAACAAGTTGTGTTAATACAGATGGAGTCTCTTTGTAATTTGTGACCTATTCTGACCCCGATACCTAACCAATGTCTGCAATTCCCCAGCGGTGATTTTGGAGATTCTTAGGCACCTCTGTACAGTTGTCTTTCTGGTCGTGTCTTAACATCTCCAGTTGCTTTAAACTTCTTACCTAGTGCCCTGATAGTGGAAATGAGCATTTTTTATTTCATGAATAATATCTCTAGGGGTGCCAACAGAAGCTCATGTAACCATTTTATCCATACCTCTACCTGTAGTAAAATCACAGGTGATAAGGTTTTCATTAAACAGCTGTTTAAAAAAGCATATGAACTAAAATAGAATAAAAATTTGGTTTACACTGCAGCAGACCATGAGTAATGTTTGTGGGCTACGGAGGGGTGAAATAATAACTGTTATATATTAGCTAGAACATATTGCTAAATATTATTAAATATCATCTAGGATTAGGACAAAAGAGGTGTGTGATATACAGTGAGCGTTATATTGAGTGTACTTCTCAAGAATTAAGGTGTTCATGATCAAAATTTTATGCCCCACAAACTGTTGAATTGTTACTAAGTCACAAATGCTTCTCATCTTTCCCAGTGAAAAAGATGCAACATTAAAGTACCTGGAAGGTTTTAAGCCAAGTTTGGAGGTCCTCAGAATTCTGCTGCATGGACCAACTGGCGCAGGGAAGTCATGCTTCATCAATTCTGTCCAGAGGAACCTCTTAGGCCGTAATGCCATTGGTGCTCTGGAACAGACGACACAATCTGGAACGAGCTTTACTAAAACAGTAGGTAACTGCAAGCAAATATTAAAATTATGCAGCTGCTAGTAGGGTGGAGGTTTGAGGCTATTTTTTGGCCAAAATAAAATGCTCAAGCTATTTTCAAAAGGAAAAATCCACATTGTACTTTCGCTGACTCTGATCATTTATAGAGCAATGTATGGTGGAGGTGAACGGCCATATCTGTCGGGGGAGCAGAGTCAAGAAGTTAGTGTCGCTCTTCAATGTGTTCTAGTTAGAGAAAGCAATAACCATAGAGTTTTAACACCATACATATCAAATATGATAAACTTTGGAACCCTGTTTTGCATCTTGTGGGATGAAGTATGTGTACAATATGTGTCAGATCACATAATATGTTGTTTTTAGTGCATTTTTCACATACAACATCAGACTTGGATCTGGTTTGTTTTCCTAATAAGTGATTTTTTCAGTTAATGGATTTATTTTTAATCAAGATTATGCTTATATTAATTTAGTTGAAATTACATGCCCAATTTAGAATTTTTTCATGGTTGTTTGAAGTAAACAGAATTAAATAGTTTGTTCCTTTCTTGTCAAGCACTCAGTAAGTTGGTGTAGAATAATTCATATTTCCAAATATTATTATTTTTATTTGCATAAGCAAGTATTAGTCTACTATTGAGACTAAAACAGAAGCTGTAACTGCTGTAGTGTTGAAGATACTGCGAACATACCTAACTGCTTTCATATTAGAACAGCTGAAAAAGTGCTTAAAAATATGGATGTATTAGTGTTCAGTTAGCATAAACATATTAGGTCTCATTATTATGACTTGAAGTGACTTTTTTTCAAATCATGCATTTAGTCAGATCATTTAATTATATGATGAGTATGTTTAAATCTGTTTTCAGATCAGATCACACAAGTTGAAAAAGCGTGGAGGTGGACGCTTTCCTTTTATATTGAGTGACATCATGGGACTCGAGCCAGAGAATACAGGAGGAATACTAACTGAGGACATCATCAAAGTGTTAGAGGGACACATTTCAGATGGCTACACTGTAAGTTTTCCAGCCTTGTGATATCAGCAGGTCAAATTTCTGTCAGGTATATTTGGTTTTCACATTGTGAATGAATCCATCATACCAAAGTGCATTCATTTGGTAGGAGATTATTAAGGTGCCATAGAATGGAAAACTGTATTTACTTTGGCAACGTTGAATAAGGAGAGCTTGGTATGTGGAACTGACATACCACGAACCACAAACATTGTTGCCTCTTCCTTCAAGTAGAAAATGCCGCAGTAAAATAGGTCTATTCCAAAATGCCAAACTGGTACATAACAGTCTTGATGCTTTAATATTTACACCCCCAAAATTTACATACAAAAATTGAGTAAGAAGAAAATGAAGTACTGAAAACATAGTGTTCTACACTGCGAAGGAGATTTTGTCACTTTTTATATCCTTTCCAAGGAGCCTACAACTTTCTTTCTGAAGGCCCAGCCAAGGTTATCGGGCATGGTTGATGTTCATCTTTAAAGGGGGCTTGAGTTGGCCAGCTTCTTAATCAAATGTTCCGTTCCACCTTAAATGTTACAGCTTGTAAAGGTGCCAGAATGTAACTGCAGGAAAATTTGCAAAACAAGCTGGGGAATAGGAAGCCAACTTTACCTCCCTCATCTTTAACAAGATCTTGGACAACTTTAATCCAAAGTTGTTAGTTTCTTCTGCACATTTCACTCCTGACTGTTTCTCAAACTTTGGATAATATCAAGCAGGCTTTACTTAGTGACCCTGAAGAGACAGAGGGACAGTACCAACTTAATTAGCATCATAATGACAACAGCAACCTATAAATAGCAGCCATGCTGGGTGATTTTATCCACTTTTTGAGATTGAAACCAGATCATCTTAAATTGACAGTTTTATAGTGAACTAACAACTTTAAAATTCTTTTTGTTGCTGTCAAGATCAAAAGCAAGTAGCTAGTATAGGTAATGCTCAGGTAAGTAGCATTGCTAACTAAAGATTTCAATCACACAAACAAGCCTAGACTTTGACTGGTTAATGGTCCTCACATGATTGATGCTAGTGAAGCAGGTACACCTGTGACTTCACCTGTCACTCCAGAGTGCAGACCATTTACTGTAGGGCTTCCCAAACCTAGTCATCATTACCTGACATTATGCAGGCTTTTGTGCTTTTTCTTTGTCTAGCATGCCTGATTCAACTAATTTGCAAGCTCCTCATGGACTAGGTCCAGTATGTAGAGTGGGGAACCACTGGTCAACTGGGTGCAGTCATGGGCTGGAAATTAGGGAACCAGCCCTGTGACCGGAAGGTCGCTGGTTCAACCCCTTGAGCCAACAGAACATGACTGAAGTGCCCTTGAGCAAGGCACCTAACCCCCAACTGCTCCCCAGGCGCTGCAGATAGGGCTGCCCACCACTCCAGGGAAGTGTGCTCACTGCCCCCTAGTGTGCGTGTTTATTAGTGTGTATGTGGTGTTTCACTGCACAGATGGGTTAAATGCGAAGGTGAAATTTCCCCATTGTGGGATTAATAAGGGTCAAAAAAAACAAACAAACAAAAAAAAACTTCAGTACAGTAGCCATCTATTTGCCTATCAACTGCTTCTAAGTTTTGGAACATCCATCTCCCACAGATGTCCATATAACTATTTAGTACTTATAACTATTTTAGAAATCTTAATAAAAGGAAAATCACCCAAAAAATAGAATAAAATAAAATATTAGGCTACATGATTGGAGGTTGCTCATGATTTGTTATCAAAAATCATAGCTGAAGACAATCTGAATGCCTTCGTTTAAGGTTTAGGCTTTGATTACACAAACCAGGACTCATTTGGAGAAGTAGGTACATATGTGAAGGGAGTGACAGAGTGGAAAGAGAGAGATACACACACAAACCCAAAAACATACAAACCTAAGTGCCTACGCATCATAGTAATATTTGCTCAGAGCAGTTTTTGTGTTTAAACGTGTAAATACTGTAACAAAGTTCCATATCAAAAGATATTCCATTTCACTAGTACCATGTATGTGTTTCAGTATGTGTATTTCATCTATTGAACAAGTACTGAGGGCGTAGCAGAATTAGAACCAAAACATTGCACTTTCACACTTCAAGGCAAAAGGTTTGGGCTTCAATGATGGCAATTTTATTCAACAGTTAGTCAACTGTTGTTACAATATTTCTTAACACTGTAATAAAGGTTTGCTGCTTTTTCTGCTTTAGTTCAATCCTATGGGACCTATAACTGAGGATCACCCAAAGTACAATCACTACCCAAATCTATGTGATAAAGTCCACTGTCTGGTGAGCGTCATTCCTGCTGACAATATCTCAAGAATGAGTGACAAAGTGATTCACAAAATGTGGACAATTCGACAGAAAGCAGCTGAAATGAGTAAGTTTGATTATTTCACTTGAGTTCTTTAATCGTTGAGGCTGGTGTGGGCATTAAATATGAAATTCAAAAGACAAATATACATTTCTGTGTGAAGATTTAGGACTGAGAATGATTTTAAACTAATTGTGAAGCACCCATATATATATATATATATATATATATATATGTGTGAGCTTTTTCTATTCTTGTTTCTTTCTTAAATATTATGTGCATTGCTTTGGCTTTCACATTTGTTTTCTTCTATATCTTGATTTTGTAGACATACCACAAGTCACTGTGTTGACAAAAGTGGATATAGCATGTAAGGTGGTCAATGGAGACTTGAAAAAGGTTTATTACAGTAAAAAGATCAAAGAGAAGGTAAGCTATGAGTGTACTCACTACACGAATGACATTCAAAAAGTTACAAAAAAAGGTTTTTGTTCTATTTTTTATCTGACATTACCAGTTTTCAATGAGTCACACTAGAGATTTGAATTTGTACTAGACCCCACATTTGATTGCTTCATATGGAGCCCTGCTGTTGACATCCCATATAAATAAAAATAAAGTGTGGCCACGACTTACTAAAGATGCGTGAGAATGAAATAATAAAGTCATAGCCATGACTTAGTAAGTCATGGGAACGAGTTAATTAACTTGTGACCATGACTCAGGTCACAAGTTAATTAGGCATGGGGACAAGATCCTGATCACAACTTAGTAAGGCATGGGCATGAGAACATTAAGTCATGGCCATGACTTAGTAACGCATAAGGACAAGATCCTAATATGTAGCCCATGACTTAGTAAGGCATGGGAACAAGATAATTAAGTCATGGCCATGACTTAGTAAGGCACGGGAACAAGATAATTAAGTAATGGCCACAACATAGTAAGACATAGGAATGAGATGATTCAGCCTTGATCACAGCTTAATAAGGCATGATCTCGTACCCACGTCATGGCCACACATTAGGATCATCTCTCATGCCTATCTCAGTCATGGCTAAACTTAATTATTTCATTCCCACGCCTTACTAAGTCATGGCCATGACTTAATTTTCTTGTTTCCATAACTTAGTAAGGCAAGAGGACGAGATCCTCATGTGTGGCCATGACTTAAAAAGGTGTGGGAATGAGATAATTAAGTCATGGCCACAACTTACCAAGGCATGGGAATGAGATCCTAATGTGTGGCCATGACTTAGTAAGGCATGGAAAAGAGATAATTAAGTTGTGGCCACAACATAATTAAGGTGTAGGAATGAGATGATTAAGCTTTGGTCACAGTTTAATAAGGAGGGATCTCATTCCCATGCCTTACTAAGTTGTGGCCACACATTATTGTTATTTATACGGCATGTCACCAGCAGGGCTCCATAGCTTCAGCTCAATTTGCAACTTTTCAAATTCAGTAAAGTCTTTTTCTTTTTCTAGTGGATCAAAATAGTTGCGTAGATCCATGAAGGCACAGAGCACATTCTTTATTCTTTCACATTTACCCAAGATGGTATATTGATGTCTTTATCTAGAGATCTACTGACAAGATTTCAGATTATGCAGTAATCCAACTTTATGTGGTGGCCTGAACCTTGTCTTTTTTCAGATAAAGATTTTTGTAATACAATTCTGAAGTGTATTGGTATCATTATGTAGAGCTTTAAATGGCAGACTCCATTTCACACTGAGTTTTGTGGGAAACGTTTCTCCATGGCAAAATAATCTCATATTCTTTGTACAAAAGAACCCCTCACTATACTTGCTATAGAGCTCACATGATTCAACTCATGATTCAACTCCTCTTGAAATGGGTCAGATAATAGAGAAAACAAAAAAAAGTGCAGAGCATAGGGGTACCAGCACTGGGATTGGGAACTCCTGGTTAACTTATTCAGTCTCTTGGCATCGTATTTGAATATGTACAACGTGACTAAAGTAGCCATTGATTTGCCCATTAACTTCGAGGTACTTCAGTTTTAGGACATTTAACTTTTGTCTTAGCTTCATGACTTTTTGAGTGAGATTGCTCACAGTTCATTATCACAAATTATAGCAGAAGATCCAACTGGCTTTATTAAAAGGAATGATTCTTTCCCCCCAGATGCAGAATGAAATTGCTTATTTACTCTTTTGGAGAGATTTGGATTTGGTGCCTCCTTGATTTTATGAGTAAAATTGTCACAGCTCACCTCAGGCTAGCATCTGCACTAACAACTTACTACATTCTCAGTACCTTCCCCTTTTTACAGGAATTGGCTTTTTACAGGCTTGCCTCCTATTTCCATTACTTTTTGTGATTGGAATCCAACCAGTCTATCATACTGAAGATCTCCACTCACACACATCGTATAGTTTGTGGTGGAGTAGATCACAGGGCCTCACCTAACTGCCTTTTGCTTTACATAAGTGACCCAGAGCCTTTCATTCTGTTCATAGGAATTTTAGTAGTGTCTGAGGTAACAAATCACATTTTCAGAAAAAAAACAAACAAACAAAACTAATGCTTCCTGATCAACAAACCTGCTCTACAGATTAAGCATACTGACATTCCATTTTCTGGCCTGTATCAGGTTTCAAAAATCTTGGAATCAATTTCAGTAAATGTGTGTCCACTTTTCATAAAGTAAATCGGACCCCTTCTAATTGAGAACTGATTTCCAACCATGATTTAATTTTCCACTTTCTGCTGCAGGTAGATTCCAGTGTGTTAGTGAATATTTTACCATTTTTTCCTCAGATTTTCACAACATTTTCTTTTAAATGGCAGATAAAGGAATTTTCCATTTTGTTTGAAGGGGTCACCCACCTTTAATTGGAAAGGTGGATGGGTTCTATCTAGAGAAAACTGCATCAGTTTTTATCCTACTTGACTGACCAGGGGACTCTAAATGGAAAAGTGTGGGTGTAGAGTTTAAATTTGAATGAAAAAAGTGAATAAATAGTATATGTTATTCATTAATCTTTTCAATTTGATTTGCACTTTGAACTTCAATTTAAAACCATTTAATGTGTAAATTATGACACAAATTGACAAATTAGAGCAATTCCTTGACACATGTATGTGTTTTCTTTTATCAGGTACAGGAATGCAGTATAAAAATTGGTCTCCCACTGAACTGCATCTACCCTGTGAAGAACTATCATGCAGAGATCACCCAAGATGCCAATATTGATGCCCTTATTCTCATGGCACTAAGGGACATTGTCAACTTTGCCAATGATTATGTGGAGGATCTGGAGGAATAAAGTGCCAGCTATTTAATACAAAACAAGGGTCATGCAGAGACCTACAGAGGGGCAGGTGCCCAGACTTAAAAACACCATGCTTTCAATTTGGAGGGGCACACAGAACACACGATTTTAACACATTACAACATAACCTGTTGAACTATAGCAATTACTGATATTCAGGCAGAACATGAGAAACCTACTACAAAATACTGTCAGAAAACCAGGCAATGTCAATAATTTTGCTATCAAATCAAAATATCCTGATAACAATGACAGTTCCACTAAAATAACTGCAACCTTTTAAACTGATTTATTTCCAAAAGAATTCATAATTCTTCTATATATATATATATATATATATATATATATATATGCATAAAATGCTGTCTTTTGAACTGTGCACTGATAACAAGCTGAGTGGTCTTTAGCCCAGAGGACACAGTGTCCATGATTTCCAAAAAGAATAAAAGAATTTCAAATGTTCATTTGTTGGACCACAGAACTCTTTTCCACTTCACCTCAACCCATCTCAGATGAGCTCAGGCCCAGAGAAAGTGGCAGCATTTCTGGATCCTGTTTATACAGTATATGTTGAGTATATGTTTTTTTTTCTTTGCATTTTAGAGTTTTAACTTGCATTTGTGGATGCAATGATGAACTGTTTTCACAGACAGTGGTTTTCCAAAGTGTTTGTGAGCCCATACAGTGATTTCCACTACAGAATCATGTCTGTTTTAATGCAGTGCTGCCTGAGGGCCCAAAGATCACGGCCAACAAATATTGTTTTTTGGTCTTATACATTGCATACAGAGATTTCTCCAGATTCTCAGAATCTTTTAATGTTATTATGTACCTTGCACGATGAAAAGCAAAAGTTCTTTGATGTTTTACGTTGAGAAACATTATTCTTAAATTGTTGCACTATTTGATTGTGCAGACTTTCACAGAATGGTGAACTCCTCCTCATCTTTACTTCTGAAAGACTCAGCCTCTCTGAGAAGCTCTTTTTTATATACAGTCATGTTACTGACCTGATGCCAATCAACCATTAGGTTTTTTTTTTAAGCATTAAACAACTTTACCAGCCTTTTGTTGCCCAGTCCCAACTTTTTTTTGGAATTTGTTGTTGGCATCAAATTCAAAATGGGCAAATATTTTTCAATAAACAATAAAATGTCTTAGTTTTAACATTCTTATGTTGTATTTATACTATTTTCAATGAAATGGGGGGGGGGTGGTGGTAAAATTATCTGCACATCATTGCATTTTGTTTTTATTTACATTTTGCACAGCATCCCAACTTTTTTGGAAATGGTGATGTAGTTTGGGAGAGGTTTTGACCCCAAGACCTAACTTATGTGTACAATTCCTCATTTGTGATCCTTGGAGAATGCTTGACCACTCAAACCATCCTACTCACTGTGTGTGGAGTATAAACATACATTCTTTCCTGGAAGACTCTTAACACCAGTTGTTATAAATTACTTAATTAGTGCCCTGATTGTGTAATGACATTTTCAACTGTTTAGCTATTTTCTTGTAGCCATTTCCTGATTTGTGCTGCTCAACAGCCTTACATCATTGATGTTTTCTCTGGTCTTTCTCATAGTGATGGATGACGGACAGAATTTGGCCTGTGTTTAATCTCATATGTGATAAAGGTTAGATGTTTGTGTCACTGGACAGGGAGGTGGTGGGCCCAAGTGCAGAGCTAATACTTACTGGTATGAGGTGGTAAAGTGAAATAGATATATTTGGAGTCACTTTGTGGTAACCAGCGACCTATCGTGTGAGGTAGCGGAGCGCTACCACTGTGCCACAGTGTCTGTAGAAAAAGAGATGGAAAGCAAATGGTGGGAATGGCAGACAAAAGAGACACTTAAGACCAGCATGCTCAAACAAAGAAACACACTAAAAAGAACACAAAACCACTCTCAAGCTCGAGAGGGCATAAGGGTGAGTCCACCTTCAGATTGTCTTTCCTTCGGATCTTGTTCTTTGCTTTTCTGTTGCCTGCTTTCATGCTCTTTATTTTACCTTTTTCCTTTCCTTTTCTTTCTTTCTTTCTTTCTTTCTACATAGCTGGACTGAAGTACCATACCGGTTACCCCTCTACAAAGGTGTTACCCTGAGCTGCCGTTTGTGTGAACGTTTATGCAGTTTTCCCCAGGTGCAACCAGTCAGCACTGATTATCAGTTTCTGGGAGGCACAACGAATCTGAGACATCAGTGTAGCACAGCATGTGCTACCCCAGGCTCAAGGAGGACGCTGGAGGTAGCGTTCATGTTTGCAGCAGCCATATTTTATTCAAAGACCAAATAAACACAAAGCAAACAAAACCAAATAATCAAAGCTATGCTGGCCATTTTTCAGTGGCTTAAGCTAGACTTTTCAGTACTTTTCAAAGTAAGCTTTTCAGCTCTGTCCTCAGTCTTTTGTTGCTGCTGCTGCTCGTCCCTCTCTTGCTCTGTTCCCTCTCAGCTCTTTTAAAAAGCTAGCTGAGTCGAGAGGGAATGCGAGTTCACTGCTCCGCCTCCTCGTCACCATCCCCAGCTCACAGCACGGCCGCCTGGGACAAATGTGAGGTGTAGTGAAGCGGCAATTGCAGCCGCCGTAGGGGCCAGGGGGACAGGCACACACCACAGTCAGGTTAGGAGTTTTGATACCCACACCATACATCTTTACCTGTTAACCTCTCAGGCACAGGCTCAAAAAGAATGTCCAGCTCAGTACTTCTCTCTCAAATGCAATAACAACATTATACTGATAAAGATATGAAGACAGTAGATCATTCACTTCAATCCTCGGAAAACACATTCTTAATCAAATTCTGAATGAGTTCTCTTTTAATATTGAACATGTTCACATTCATCCTGTTGGGGAGGAGGTCCAAAGCACAGCCTACATTACAAAATGTTCTTCTGCATGTTGTATGTACCTCTGCATGTTGTACACTACTAGTAGAGAGATCCTCAAAAACACAAACTTATACAGTGCAACTTTAAATCAGGTGTGCTGCTGCAATATTTTTGCAAGGGCTGGGGGCATCAAGGAAAAATCTGTCACTAAATCTACGTTCACAAAACCTTCTTACTGATTGAGATTATGTTAGGGTTAGGCTAAGTGTGTAATGTTAGGTAATTAGATATAACTTATTAGTTCAATGCATGTTAAGACATAATCATCTACAAAATGTCTACATAGGTCCATCCAAATAAATGTTACTAAAGAGTCAAGCTGATCAAAATTATCTTTCCTTTTTGTCATACACACCAAGAGATTCTCCAGGAAGACTGTCCAGCCAGAAGCAGTATAACTTATCTAATACAGGCCGGGCTATTGAATATATGAACAAGATACAGTCTCCTTTTCAAATATATGGTGCACATGGGTTACTGATTCATTTGTATGATTTATTTGTATCCAACAAATTAAAAGAGGTATTAAATTTCATTTATTAGCACATTATTCATTTATTGTTTAATAGCACATGGTCTAATATACAGTTCCTCTGTCCTTCACACTGCCCTATCTTTATTTTCACTTTCAGGATGTGGGCATAAAAATGCTGAGCACATACACACTGCAACATAGCTGCAGCACTCACAACATCACTTAGGCTTCTGGAAACTACCAGTACTTCTGTCCGCGGAGTACAGGACTGAGATCATCATACACTAAAATCACGTAAAGAATTGTAGTGCTGATAGTGATAAATAAGCCTTATGCATGGAACTATAACTACTTAATGCAATTATACAAGCTTATACCCTATACAAGGTGTTATATATGCTTTATAACATCTTATTAATGCATTTATAATGCATTATGAATAAAAGATTCAGAAAAAGTTTTTTCCAAACTACCTCATAGAAACAGAGCTTTAGATTGAATAGCTGAACAATACTGGAACATGAAGAAAATGTACAGCTCATGCGCAGGGGTCCTCCTACCAAACAAAAAAAACTGAAAAAACAAACAAACAAAAAAAAAAACTAAAAGAAGCATTAAGTTTAATTGGATAACCAATTACTGATTCATCCTTTAAAAGCCAGGATAGTATACAGCTTCAAAGCTTCCAGTTTGCTTGGCCTGACCTAATCTTTTCTTGACCCAGCATCACTAAGGCTTCTGGAAGCTTCTAGCTTAAAGACTTTCAGCTTTCGTCTGAAGGAATTAACATCCAAATTGGGTGAACTATAGGAATTACAGCCAAACATCCAACTTATTGTCAGTTAGATCCTGCCCCAACCTCCTTTATGAAGGAATGCGTGACAGAGATCCCTCCATATTTCACACCTTATTAATAGCTGTTTTGCAACCTGTTGTGTCCCTGTTGATCTCAAAACTGCTGTTGTTACTCCTGTCCAAAAAAAGCTAGGTCTAGACTCATCATCATCATCATCTTTGTTAACCGCTTAGTCCAGATAGGGTCGCGGTAGCAGTTGGGAGAGTAGAGTATCCCAGGCGATCCTGTCCCCCGCAACTTCCTCCAGCTCATTCCCGGGGACCCCAAGCTGCTCCCAGGCCAACTTGGATATATAATCCCTCCAGCGGGTCCTAGGATGACCCTGGGGTGTTGTCCCAGTAGACCGTGCCTAGTACACCCCCACCGGGAGGTGTCCAGGGGCATCCGGATCAGATGCCCGAACCACCTCAGCTGGCCCCTCTCAATGTGGAGGAGTATTGGCTGCACCCCGAGCTCCTCCCGGATGACCAAGCTCCTCACCCTATCAAGTACAGTGTAGCCCGCAACCCTGTGAAGAAAGCTCATTTCCACCGCTTGTATTCACAATCTCATTCTTTTGGTCATTACCCACAGCTTATGACCATAGGTGAGGGTCAGGATGTAGGCCGACTGGTAAACAGAGAGCTTTGCCTTATGGCTCAGCTCCCTCTTCACCACTACACTTTAGTTCAAGCTCTTTAGGTTGAAATAATCATTTATTTTCTTAATATTTGGACTTGTGAGTCCTTGATAAAAAATATACTTGCTGAGAAAGACATTGATTATTTCAACATCATAAATATTTGAAAAAAATAAGACATTCATCAGAAATTCAAAGAAATAGGCCCTTTTCACAAGAAATGGAAATATGTAAACACATTTTGCCGTAGCCTTATGGATGAGTCATCTGACCATGGTACACAGTTCCATTGTCTTTTAGACCACCTGAGATGAGCTCAGACCCAGAGAACTCGGCGGCATTTCTGCATAGAATTGATGTTTGGTTTTCTCCTTACTCCTTGAGTTTCAACGTGCATTTTTTGATACAGCGGCATACAGGGGACTACTGGTGTTAAGTGACAGTGATTTTCCAAAATATCCCCGAACCCATGTGATTATATTTAACACTGCAGCATGATGGTTTATCATGCAATGCTGAGGACTCGAAGGTCATGCACATTCAACAGCGGTTCTTGGGGTTGTCCTAAAAACACTGAACTGTTTGACAATACTACCACAAAGTTTTCCATAAAATGATGAGCCACAACCCTTATTTGCCTGCAAAGACTGAGCCTTTGTTTGATGCTCCTTTTAAAACCTATCATGACACCCTCACCTCTTACAAATTTATTTTTATTGTAGGATGTTTCAAAATGGTGTAATTTGAAAATTCTACAATTTTTTTATTCTTATTTTGCCCCATCCCAACCTTTTCTGAGTGTGTTGCATGTGCAATAAACAAACAAGCAAACAAATAAATGGTGGTCAGCCAAAAAATGTGTTTGTACTTTTGTCAGTTAAAAAAAAAAAGCTTCAAGAGAATTTACAAATCACAGATTCTTGTTTTTTATTGAATTTTACAAAATGCCCCAACATTTCCGGATATGGGGTTAGTAGATTGATGATGAGATGAGATGTTGAAACAGCTTGCTAACACACACACACACACACACACACACACACAACCTCATTCTTGATAAAAAACAAAAAACCTGAATGCAGTTATTTAATGCTAATCATTTAAACTGTATGCTTCATTAAAATAGTACAAAGGAAACATCAAAAACATTACTTTTACATATGACCATATATGACACATTTAAAAAAGTTGGGACAGGAGCAACAAAAGACTGGTAAAGTTGTGTAATGCTAAAAATAACCTGGTGAAATGTCTGACAACTAATTCAGTTAACTTGCAACACATCAGTAGCAAGGTTGTGTATAAGAAGAAAATGCCAGAGAGGCTGATTCTTTCAGAAGTAAAGATGGGGAGAGGTTTGCCACTCTGTGAAAGACTATGTGGGAAAATAGTGCAACAATTCAAGAATGTCAAAGAATAGCAAAGAACCTGGGGATTTCATCATTTATTGTACATTATATCATTAAAAGATTCAGAGAATCCAGGCAAATCTCTGTAAGCAGGGGACAAGGCCAAAACCCATACTGGCTGGCTGTAACCTTCTGGGCCTCAGGTGGCACTGCATTAAAACATGATGCTGTCGTTGAAAACACTTAATGGGCTCAGTAACACTTACAAAAACCACTGTCTGTGAGCACAGTTCATTGCTGCATCCACAAATGCAAGTTAAAACTTATGCAAAGAAGTAACCAAATATAAACAGGATCCAGAAACACTGCCACCTTCTCTGGGCCTGAGCTCATTTAAGATACATTGAGTGGAAAAGTGTCCTGTGGCCTGACGAATCTAAATTTGAAATACTTTTTGTAAATGATAGACACTGCATCCTCGGGCTAAAGATGAGAGGGACCATCTGGTTTGTTATCAGTGTACAGTTAAAAAGCCAGCATCTGTGACAGTATGGGGGATGCATTAGGGCACATAGCATGCACATCTGCCTTGCACATCTGGGAAGTGCAATTAGTGCAGAATGATGTATACAGGTTTTGGAGCAACATATGCTGACATCCAGATGACATCTTTTTTAGAAAAGGCAGCGATCATTTCAGCAAAACAATGCCTAACCACATTCTGCATGTATTAAAACAGCATGGCCATAGTAAAAGAGCTCAGGTGCTAAACTGGCCTGCCTGCAGTCCAGACCTGTCACCCACTGAAAACATTTGATGCATTATAAAATGAAAAAAAAAAACAACAAAGGAGACTCCGAGCTCTTGAGCAGCTAGAAAGAATGGGAAAACTCTTAAAACTAGAACAGTTGAACGCTTAAAGAGTTGAACAAAAGAGTTGAACACCATGGTTAACATGCCCCCATCCCAACTTTTTTAAAACATACTTGTTGAAATTTCACAGTTTCAGTTTCTTTGAAATGTTTTTTTGATTGAATGTGCAAATTATTTAACCCTATATTGTTACATTCTGTTTTTATTTGGATTTTGTAGGTATCCCAACTTTTTTTGGGAAAGAGTTTGTATGTACAAACCCTGAAAAACCCTGAAAAATACATAATGCTATATTTTATAATATATTTTATTGTATACTATGTTAAGCATATAATTAAATAATATATATATAAAGTGTAAAACATTACTGATTATATTAAAGTCTTAGTCAACAGAGAGCAAGACAAGTGAGTCCAAATGATGTAGAGTCTGAGACGACACTAAGACCGCTAGCTTATGGTCTCGAGACCAAGACCGGACTTGAGTACTGTAACACTACATGCTGGCAACAAAATTAACACAAGCTTTTCTCAAGTGTTAAACAGTCAGCATTTACCATTAGTCTTGGTAAATGGGAGCAGGTGCTTCATTATAATAATCTCCTCACTCCACACTGCCACTATGGCTACATACAGTATGTTTGAATTTGTTTCTAGATCAACACACACAAGATGAAGAAGCGTGGAGGTGGATATTATCATTTTGTTTTCAATGACATCATGGGACTTGAAGCTAAGAGAGAGGGGATACAAATTGAAGACATCATCAAAGTTTTAGAAGTACATATTTTGGAAGGTTACAAAGCAAGTCCACAATCTTGCCCAGTTCGTACAATTAACTGTTGTGGTCACTTAAATAATATGTTTCTATTTATTAGGGCATTATTAATTGCTGCTAACAGTTAATAAATTGTTAAGAAGCAGCAGGTACCAGTGATTTAATGATAAAAGTAAACAGACTCTTATCAAAGAAAAAAACATAACTGTGATATAGATGGTAACAACCTGGAAAAAGTGGCCATATGGTTGACCTTTTGGCAGCATGTATATAAGCAGTCAGTGCTTGCTGTGGCTTCCAAATCAAGATACTAAGAAAAAGTCAGTGTGATTAGGTGTTGATCTGTACCAAATTGATAATTTATCTTAAATCAGGTCCCGATTATGCATAATGGCTAGCAATGCATCAACTTACACATCGCAGGTGCTAAAAGCACAAAAAATCACTAGAATCATACAATTATTTGGACTGTTTAAGGTTCAGCAATATTGCATCTGTTGTACCATCAACTACACCATCAAACGTCTCCATGATCACAAAAGTAATTAATAGGTATGTATCTGAGTTTGTTTGGGTTAATGAGTGT